GAACCCCCCCCCCCCCCGGCTTCCAAACCAAGTAAAAGAACACCCTGACATTTTCTACGTTCACCGTCTAGTGTTTATTCCAAACAGCCTTTGTGAAGCTTCTGTGCCCTAGGAAGATACCCCACTGGGCAAAGTGTATTTCCTCCTTAGCCTAGAGAAAATTCTCTGCTGAGAGACCATCTGCTCCTATATTGATTTTTCCGTACTTCTTGGTCTAAAGAAGGCCAGTTCCCTACTGGTGATTTATAGCGTCTTCCTAGCGTCACCCAGCCGTCGCAGGAGTGATAAAACCTCTCCTTGTTACAGTTACACTGGAATAGCGATAGTTGGGTGAATCTAAAATATGCTGTAAGTCACCTACAGGGGAATGACCTTTTTCAAAAAAGGATCCTCTATCTCCTTGACATATTGCTTTCCTTCAAAACCATTTCAACATGGAGATTTCACAGACACAGCCGAGACCCACCACGCAGCAAACTTCTCCACGCCATTGAACAGATCCTTGGCTTCTCCAAGGGACTCGCATGGCGGTGTCCGCAGAGAGCCCGGGTGGGTCAGGCAGATGGAAGCAGCTTCACGACACCAATCCCACCCGTTTTGTTCATGCACTGTGGTGTCATACGCATGTACAAAAGGAGCGGTACTTTTGTTCGACTGTGGAAAGCAGCGAGATGCTTTGCTACCCCGTATCAAAATGACGGACAGCCCATTTTTCAGGGCGACCATCCTCCCAAACTGGTTGGCAAGCAGTATCAATTGTAAATAAAACATATTGCAAATATTATTTAAACAGTCTATGATTTTAACTGTGCCCAAACAGCTTCCTTGAGAGCTGCTACATATATTTCTGATGAACTCGGGAGCAGAAAATCCCAGCCTGACCATTTCTTCTGCTCAGGTTCCATCGAGGGGTTCTTTGGAAGAGAAATTCTCCATCCTCTTCCATACAGGAAAGGATATTGGTCCAGCCAAGACTCCTTGGTACAGCCCACGCCTTCTAAGACCAGCCCCCAAACAACAGTACTGCAATTCTGCGTCAGTTTTCTTGAGAACATTGAATAAAATTAGCACACAAGGCCTCTGATGATTCTCCCTTGGCAGCCCTGTTTTCAAAAATAAATACATGCATACATTGGCTAACCTCTCCCCGAAGGGTTCAAGACTGGCCTGACATGGATATGGTATCGGAGGCATCTATTAAAACAAAGTACAGGTAGTCCCCAGGTTAAGAACACCCAGTTTAAGGATGACCCATAGTTAAGAACAGAGCCTACTATAGCAAAATTTGAGTTAAACACACAATGATTCGAGTTAAATACACAATGGTTCAAGTTCATTACACAATACTGTACTACTTATACAGTATTATTCTGTTCTGGCTTACATTCAAATTTGACTTAAGGACAGATCTTGGGAATGGAACTCATTCTTAAACTGGGGACTACCTGTATTTCTGATCTGTCAATCAAATCAACCAAGGGATGAAACACCACATGGTATTTTGGCAAAAGGGTCAGGCTCCAATTTGCTGGAGGCAGCAATTCTGAGCATATCTAGCCAGCCTGTCCATATTTCCAAACAGTCGTGCACCATATCGTTCTGCATGAGATCCAAAGCAGTCTTTAGGCTAAGAACATGTGCCATAATGAACTCAGCATGGTTTTGTTTGAAATCCAGAGAGACAACCCAGAGCCAACAATCCTCTGTATGTAAAATACAATTTATTATAGTGAAGCCATTCGTAAGTTAATCAACACCACATATTCCATTCAAAACTCAAAATATCTCACCAATAAATACTGCATCAGAGTGTTCGGTGTGTCAGTTCGTCATTGCATCACAAGCTAACAGTGGCAATTTCTATAGGGCACCCCATTATTCAAGGGGCAAAATTGGCCGCCCATATCATAAAAGGGCACAGATCCATTTTCCAAGGTGAAAGTGCAGGCAAGCTGTTTCCAGGAATGGTGGAACATCAATACCTAGAAACATCTTATGGAATCCCTAGAAATATTTACATCTCTTCCTTTAAAATCTAGGCCTGTGCGTATGGATTCAAAGAAGTCCCATGAAGTCACTTTAATTAATCCTTCTTTCTAAAAAAAAATTAATTCTATACGCTGCCTTTGAAAACTTTCCAATTTAAAGTCACCAGCTGAAGGGCAGTAACTCTACTTGAAAAACAGCCCATTGCATTCAATACAAATTTTCTTTTCTTGGGGAAGGAGTATGTTTGGAGGAAGCCTAGGAGCAGACAAGCGAATCCTGCCTCTTGGCACTACGGTTAAGTTTAAACTCAGAAAAAGCTGCCAATGGCTTGGTCACTTATGTTGGGTTGTTTTTGGTCAAAAATCAGATGGAGGTTGCCTTGCTCCCATATATCAGTGGTGTGATTTGAGAAGGTCCATCTAAGGGGAAAAAAGGAATTCAGGGCACACTGGCTTGCGGACTGCCCATCTGCTATGAGGAACTCTATTCTCCTGGGAAGGATTGCAGTTCCTGTGAACAGAGCAGATGACCTCTTTTTCTTTCACTTTTTTTTCCTGCCACACACGCATCATCCCTTCCTCTCCATCCAACATGGGAAAAATCAGTTTTGTTGACCAAACACAACACTTGCAGATGGTCCTTGAAATTAGGCCAACAGTCAACCCCTGATAGCAATCCCGTCTTTCCAGACTCCAACATGGCTCTACACCGATTGCTAAGAGAGTGGAAGGAGCTTTTTCCACAAGGAGAAATACAGAAATCTAAGCAATAGAAGCTGCTTTCAACAGGAGAAGAAGAAGTCTCTCTTGAAAGAAGAGCTTCAAACACAGTTGGGGAGCTCTTGTGCCTATTGTGTACCACTCAAGCTCCACATCTGTCTAACTGAGACTTAAGCGCCTCCAAGTATTTTTTTCCAGACTGTTATTTTCTGGACATCTTCACCCTGCTCCCCATTCAAAGCACTTTTGCCCCAGGACTGGTTCTACTGGGCAGAGTGGAAAGCAGCTGCAAGACTGGAAGAGGTCTACAATGGAGAAAACAGACATCTGGATCTTCTGTTGAACTCTGTGAAAACTTTACTGTGCCTCGTTCATGTTTTTCACAGGGAAAAAAACCCAGGAAGGACAGAAGAAAGATGGCACAGAAGTAGAGTGGAAGGATGCTGTGGCTGGAAGTATGCCAAAGTTAAGCTACGGCCAATGGTATTCGGCACCACCTGTATCCAGCTCACAGAAATGGCAAATTAAACCCACCGATTTTATCTGAATTACTTTTTTGTTAAGGTTATGATTCAGTTAGGGTTGGAGCAAAGAGGGTTTCAAGTCAGGGTCAATGCGTGCATTCCATAAGAGCCAAAAGCAGGAAGTTAAGAGGGTAAATACAGCAGGCTGTCCGTCCCCCCCCCGCCAATCTTTTGGTTGGGGTCTCAAGTAATCAGGAGATGTCCTGTCACCAAATCAGATCCCACCTAAAGGGCTTTGCACTCACTCCTATTACGACACTTTCATTTTACAGCTTATATTTCTATCCCATATTTACCCCAAGGTAATCAAGGCAGTGTAACTTGTCCTCTGCACCACTGTTTTTTTCACACAACAACCTTATGAGGTAGGCTAGGCTGAGAGATAGTGACTGAGGCCATGGGCACCCAGTGTGCTTCACAGCTGAGCGGGGAGTTTGAACCCAGCGCAAGGGACTCCTACCCGCTGCACAGCACTGTCTCTCTCTGTCACCTGAGACCTAGAAGAACACGGAGAGGACTTCACCTCTTCCTGCTTCTATTATGGAATGTGCAAACAAACCCTCAGATACCCTGATTTAAAAAAAAAAAAAAAAACAACCACCCCTACACTGGTGTCTATTTTAATTCCAAGTCGACTTTAGGAAGGAACGTAATTTCATGCAAACACAACACGTACGGCATGATTTAAAATGCTAAAGTCCTCTTAACCGGTTATGATTTTCCTCAAAGTCTGGCTTTAGGAGGATTAATCTCTATTTAAGGAAAAAAGGTAGTTTCAAAAACAGAATTAAAAACATCTTACTATAGCACACATACACTCCCCCCCCGCCACCACATGATAAAAGTATACTTTTCTACCTAGGAGTAGCTTTTACTGGGGCAGCTATGTGATAAATACTTGTTCAATCTTTTCACCATGCCTTTAAGGTCTGCAGAGTCTTTGCGGTAGACTTCCCCCCCATAAACTGATGTTCCGTGGGGTGCGTGATCCTATGATGCCTATGTGAATACATGTTTGGAAACAGCCCTGCTGTTTAAGCCCAAATCTGTGGAGAAAAATATCAGACAATGATTAGCTTCTTTAAAGAGACTTCCCTTTGGTGCCAAGAACTTGGTTACATGACAACAGGCATTTCACCTTCATGTTGGGTTTATCCCTATATCCACTCAGAGATGGCTTTATCTGATTGGCTTCACTGCACACAACCATCGGTGAGAGATGCTGTACTCCCAAGATGGCAGTGAGGTATCTACAGGATCTGATGATTCTGTTCAAAATGATGCAACAAGCATCATGACACGAGCTCTGTCCCCTTATGGGCATGCATTACGCAATGGTGTGACACGCATTTTATCATATTCACTCTTGCAGAGGCCTCCGCTGGAGAAAACCTCACGTAGTTTACATGGGTTTGCATCTACCCAGGCATTGCTTGTGAATTGGTGTTTCCGGCCTGCCTCTTTTCCCCAAGCCTGTGGCCCAGAACAAGATTGGAAATGATGCTCTGCTAGGGGATTGTGGGAAAGTTAAAACGGGGAGCCAGTCGTAGCCTCCCACTTCTTTAGCCTTCCGTATTGAAACTTCCAACAGAAAGGAGCTGGGAAACGTAGTTCAGCAAGATCTGGAGGCTTAAAGCATGATTTAAGCCAGACTTTCTAACCTGAAGCACTTTTAAAAGGATGGCTATATAGTTTCCATCCTCCAATGGCTGGAGATGATGGGAACTATGATTTCACACAACCAGAGGGCACCACAGTGGGAAACCTGACTCAGATGATCATCTGCACAGTTATTTGACCGAAATCAGAAGAGTGTGCCTGGGGCTCAACTGATTAATCTAATCCCCTTTATGCAGGTAGATGCAACAGTTCTCAGCCTACATGTGCCCTCTGAGTGGTGCACTGGGGCCACAGTCTAAAAACTGAAATGAGCAGGATATAATCAAGTAGCAAGTGGTGTCAGAACAAACACGAACCATAATTCTGAGTTTAACTCAAAATGATGATTTGGTGCTCTGGATCTCGCATGGCAGGCTGAAACTAAACATATATCCTAGGTCACTAATTGCTTGAATCCACTGATGTCAACATACTGATTTCTGTACAAATCCTCTCAAATGCACACCAAGAAGACAGAGGAAGATTTTTTTAAAAAACTGAAGAGGATATAGTCCTTACCCTCAAAGTGTGATCCCATGATCCAGAACAAAACGCAGTCCCATCGGGCGAAACCCTCAAAGTGCTAACACGGTTCTCGTGACCGAACAAAATAGAGACGCGAGACCCTTTCAGAACATCCCAAACGTTTATGGTGTAGTCGTTGTAGCCCGCAAATAATAAACGCCCTGTGGAGAAAATGCTGCTCGTCAGGAATCACAAGATTATGCTGATGACACAATCTAGCAATCAAAGCTCCCAAACAGTTTCACAGGTAGAAGAAAACCAACTGCAAAGGAAAACTGAAAACTGTAAAGGAAAAATAGATCTTCAGCCAGTGACCATAATGCAGAACATTATATAATATATGAGATGTAATTCTCATTTAGTGGTGGCAGATGGATTTAGGTATATCTGACTTCCTTTTGAGAGGAAATATCAAAGGAGCTTCAGGAAAGGGTAGGAACTCATCCACCCTCTTGAGTGGTGATGAGAAGGTAGGAGATCAGAGGCACTCTTAGTCAATGGGAACCCTTTCTAGTGCTGTTTTAGAATGTTCTTCATCCCGTGGCACATCTTACAAGCCTCCAGAACCCCTTCAAAAGTTACCATGTTATTTTCATTTTTAATGGGACCAAATTAGATAATAGGACAATCACATAACTGAACTGTCATGGAGAAGATGGGGCAGAATTGTTCAGGGCTGTAGAAGACAGGACCAGAAACAAAAGGTTTAAATTAAAAGGAAGGTAATTTTGGTTGGACATCAGGAAGAATTTCCCAATGGGAAGAGTTGTTCAGCAATGGAACAATTGTTTGGTGGGACATGGTAGGGTGTCTTCACAGGAGGTGTTTAATAAGAGGCTAAAGATCTCTGTAGAAGATGCTGTAGTAGTGGATTCTTGGACTATATGATCTCCAAGTTCCCTCCCAACTTTTCCATCTTATGACTCTCTGATTTTACTACAACGTAATAAATCTCTCCCTGCTCATCTAGCTGAGTGAGTTCACTGGACTAAAGGAAAAGTTGCGCACCCCTCCTTAAGAGTTAAATTCAAATCAAGTAAATGCTGCACCTCTGGTTAGTCAACTTCATTTTTTTTTTTTCTAAATGAGAGAGCTGAAGCAAACCTAGATTTGGAGGACCAACTCAGGAGCAACTGTTTTAAGTCTCCACATCGGGAAGAGTTTACTTCACTGATGGAATCAGTTTGCTGCCACAGCCAGCCAAGTTAAACTGGAAAGAGATCACACTTGCGCTTCTTCTTGTTAGTTCCCATGAGAAAAGAAAATACATCAGGATTCATATCTCACCGCTAAGAGAAAAATCCACACTGGACGCCCCAAAGATGATGCTTTCTTTGGAATAGATGGCCACCTCTCTGTCTGCTCGGAGGTCATATAAACGGCACTCAAAAGGAAGGGAAGGAAAAAAAGCAAAATTCTTATCTGGAGCATTTTTTTAAATAATATGATCATGCACAAGATTTCAGCTATGCTAGTAAACCCCCATAAACCTGAACACTATACCTTACACACCAGTAAGGCACTTTAATGTTCCCCAGATGTGTTGGATTTCAACTTCCATGAATTGCGTGATCTTCTTTGATCATTCTAGAGCCACCTTCCCTAACCTGTCTCTCTTCAAGCTGTTTGGATATCAACCTCCAGAATTCTCATGTGTGGCCATGCTGTCCAAGGAATTCTGGGAACTGAAGGCCACACATCTGGAAGTTGCTCAAGCTGAAGGAAGCTGCTCTAGGAAACTGATGTTTGGAAGCATTCGGCTAGTGAAAATCTCTGATTTGATACCTCAGCTAATTCATTGCCTTATCAAAGCAGCCCACCTTGGTCTTTTTGGTGGGTCAGCTAAATTATGAAGCAGCTTCCCAAGAGAACGCACCCTCTTTAAGAAAGCACAAGGATGCATTTATTTCAACAGCACTTTTTCCCTGTTCAAATCCCTCAGTCACATGTGCTATAGATTTCTTTGCTGCCTTTGGAGATTATTATTTTAGTTTATTTTTGTTGTGATAGCATTTTTACACCACCTTGGAATAATCTTTTGGCATGGAAAGATGGGGCGGGATGTCCAAAATAAACAAATAAACCAATAAATAACATTTAAAATTCTCTTCCAATAACATTCCATCCTTCTTCTACCTCATTTGCCATTGTAACTTTTTCCTCCCACACACATTCCAAAGCTGTGGTTTGGCTTGTACAGATTACATTCAACCCATTTGTTTAGGATATTTCTTTAGCATATTGATTTGTCACCCTTCCTCCAGGAGCTTAGGGCAAAATATGTGTGGATTATTCCATTTTAACCCTGCAAGAACAGTTAGGCTGAAAAGATCTGAGCCAAAATCACTGGAGAAATTTCAGTGCTAAGCAGGAATCTTAACCTCAGGTCTTCCTGGTTCAGATTCAGCAAGGACAGAGAGTTAGAGAAGTTCAACGTCCCTCTGCGTAAGCTGGGCAAGAAAATGACATGCCCTGTATCTTGAACTACACTCCCAGAAGTCTTACCCAATCTAAGTAGGGGATGCTGGAAGTGTAAAAGCAACATCTGGAAGGTCAAAGGCTGTCCATCCCTATGTTTGGGTCTGGTAGATCCATGAGGTGGTAATAGGAAACATATTCATTGACCTAGGAACTTGGTGTAAGACAGGGACATGAGATCTCAACTCCTTCAAAGGATGCTGGAATTCTCCCTCTCATCATGCCCAACTACTGGCTAGCTTGGTTGAGGATGATAGAAGTCAGAGTACAACACCAGTTACAGGACTACTAGTTCTCCTATGGCAATGGTGGACAATACACAGCTAATGAGCACATGTGGCTTGGCAGCAACCCACCTGTGCCCTCCAAACTCCAGAGTTTTTAGAAGTAGAGATATTCCATCAGGCTGACTGTGGATTCCAGATGACCACACATCCCAGATAGACAATCAGTCATTTCTCTGCACACCACTGAACCATCTTTCCTCCTCACACATTAAATACAAGCAAACAGTACATGTGGTTGTTAAGAGTTGACCGCAACCTCATGGTACTTAATCAGTCACTCAAAATGCATCCAAGAAGCCAGTGGGGTCATATTTAGGTCCGGTCTTCATTCATGGGAAAGGAATGTGTTTCTCAAAATTAAATAATGCTACGTACTGTGGCATCATCTGAGCCAGAGGCAAAGGCATCTCCGCTTGGATAGTACCTACACAAAGGGGAAGAAAAAGACGTCAGTGCAATTCTGAAGCAATATCTGGGGATCCTTGCAAAACACAACTGCACCTCGTCCTTGGGCTTCCTCAAGCAACGGCCCTGACCGCATGGTTCATGTAAGGGGGATTCTCCTATTGACTCGCACCCAGATTTTCCCTGACCCTGGGCAAGCCAAGATAATTTGTATCAGTCCTTCAGGTACATCCTGTTTTGTGTTGGCTCCAGAGGGTGGCAGACTGGCCGAGGTATGGCACAAGAAGCCCACCCCATCGCCCTCTCCCTCTTCTGCCCTCCTCCCACAAAGGCTTTTTTGTCAATAGGCCCCGAGGCACCATTTCAGAATAGGAGTCTGACCTGACACCATTAATATCCGATTCGTGGGTTTCAAAGGATTGAATGCACTGACCGGTCCGCATGTCCCAGATCATTGCTTTTTTATCACAACCCTAAACAAACAACAACAAAAAATACATATAATAATAAACTCTACCTCAAGAAGGAAAGAACGAGCACAAGGAATCATAAAACCGGCAATATCCTAAAAGATGCTATTTGTTAGAAATATCTGGGTATGTTTTTCTGCCGTGTGTTTGTTGGTTTGCTTTTAAATTGGTTGTTAGAATGGAGGGAGTTCAATAAACCATAGTGATTTCATCAGCTCGATTCGTCACTGCTATTTATTCAAACCGAGTTATTACAGTTGCACAAAGGGGCAATATTTGTACGAGCGAACAAGCATGGAAGAGGAGCACAGAGAAGACAAAGAGAGATGTCAGCAAAATGTTGCAGCGCAGAAAACTCCTGTTCAGGGCCTCTGTCACTCTATCCTTTTCCTGTTCCTAAATTCTCCATCTCCTCCCCGAGGCAGCTGCATTTCATGCAAAGGTCGGCCCTCACGGAGCTTATCCGAGGAGTATGCTAAAAAATACTCCTGCAAATTTTGATGGCGTATGTCCCCAACTTGGCGGTATGTGTGGAGTATAGTACTATATAAGCTTCAGCCCCACCTGAAATGCTCTAAGCCAGTGTTCCTCAACCTTGGCAGCTTGAAGTCCACACATCTTCAAGCTGCCAAGGTTGAAGAACCCTGCTCTAAGCCACCTTTGGTCCAAAAAGGCCACTTAGTCTGTTGGAACTCCATGATCCTTCTTCATTTCAGACACGTTCTGCTGGCCAGTGCCCATTCTCTGTTTCTTCTGCTACCACAGACCCCTTATCCCCATCCTGCATAAAGATAAGCCCACTTACCCCCGACACAAACGTGTTTCCTGTTTCTGAAGGAGCAAGATCCAGGCACAAGACATCTGCCCCGTGGCCATGAAAACTCTGCAGAAGCTGTCCGCTTTCCACGTCCCAGAGGGCACAGGTACCATCACCACTTGCAGTCAAGATCTTTTGGGGGGAACCAAAAAAGCAAAGAGGTCATTCTAGAAATGGCAAGGGTCATTCCAACAATTTGCATCAAATCATGGGTTCACTTGACTTCTTCCCTATTGATTCACGAAATCCACATTCATCCATTCCTTTGATTCATATTAAAGGACCATCTCTCCCCCCCCCCAAATTAATTGATTTACTAAACCTTCGGTCTTCAACTAAGGCACTAGAATTCAGTTTGGGGGGCTCAGGGAATTCAGTGGCATCACATTTTAATTAATTAAACTTCCTTAATCCACACTTCTCAAATCTCTGCCTAAACTAAAAAGAAGTTATACTCTATTTGTCCTTTCTAAAGATGTTAAAACACAATTCTGATATCTCAAAACAGACACAGCATGTGCATTAGAGAAATGGACAGGAAAAAAATACACATTGATGAAAATAAAGTACGCATTATATCATGGGAAATAGCAAACTTTCAAGATGGGGATGGTATAAAAATTCTGTTAATAACTAAATAAATATGCAAGACTGGACATTATTTCTATGATTATAAGCTGAAGAGGGGCATTCTCTTCCCTTTTAATGTTTTGCTCTCTGTAGTACACCTGAGTACAGAAAACCATGATTTAGTCATTTTTAAACAGAGAATTCTTCCCTTTTCATCCAGGGAGGGGGGAAAAACAGCTGGGACTGCAGATTTGCTAAATGCCTACTTTGTTTTCCGTTTTCATCAGCAGCTCAAAAGACTGGGCTTCTAGTCTGAATCATTCATAGCCCTCTACTGGTAGCGATTTTCAACATTTTGCTAGGAAAAGGCCTGTGTCAAGTGAACAGAAGACCTTAAAAGTATCAGGGCTGTTTTGCTCTTTTGTTCCCCCATCTGTCCCATCAATGCTGTGATTAAGTCCAACACAAACATGTAAGAGCGAGAACGTAATCTTCGTGGCTTCAGATCCCATGATGGAGCAAGGGGATGCATCTGACAATTGATGAAGAAAGAACGGGATAGACTCTTCTTCGAAACGGGAGCAGCAGACCACAACAAGTGCCATCCATTATACAGGACTTGCTCCCTGAAATATTAACTAATTAAAAAGTTTTTTTGCTAAAAAGAAGGCAGACTTCTAGAAAAATGGAGGCCTTTTCATCCAGAACTCTCTTTTCAGTGATTTCTCGTTCCTTGTAGGCCACTTCTATAACATCTTCCAAAGCAAGACTGGGCTTCAGAGTATTCACTGCCTCCTGATTCTGCATCATGTTTGCTTTAATTATTCCACCAGCCTCCTATCTCTCAAGGCTACAGTTTCATATACTAAAAGCACCACAGGTAGATGGGTGACTTTGGTTTCCATGGCAATAGACTTGCACCGTCATCTTGGACTTATTCCTGGAAACTGCAGAATGGGAAACAGCAATTTCCTCCGAAGCCTCTCACATCCCAGAATAGACTCCGCTCAAGCTGATATTTCACTAACACAAATAACTGAAAGAAATCTAACGCTGCGCTCAATTCTGCACCAAGGGCTGAAATAGCACTGTGGACATTTCTTTCAGAGAAAAAGAGGATGTGAGTGAACATTCGCACGGGTGGAGCGTCACTGGATTTAGCAACAAGGTGGCCGAGGAGTTTGTGTGAACATCCTCATACAATCAACTGTTCCTTGGTCCGCAGCCTCCCTGGTTTCATTCAGTCCCAAGGAAGACAAATATGAGAATCTTCCCACTGGGGTTTTCCAGCAGTAGAGTGACTTCATCCCAGAAGGAGAATTCTGCCCTTCAGAAATCGCTGAAGAATTTCTCCTCCTGCAGAAATTTGGAGAAACCCTCCACCCGATTTCTCTGCCCACAAATTGAGTGGAGGATCTTAAAAGGTCATAAAAATTTGTGTCCGCTTCCTTTTCCATATTTTCCTTTTCCGGAGGGTGGGAGTTTGTTAGGTGGACCTCAGTTCTGTGAGGCGAGAAGGGGGTGACTGTGGTTTTCCCCTATGAAGCATAAAGAATATTTTATCCATCCCTACCCCAAAAGAAACAAATGAGCATCTTTACAGGGGTGGAGAAAACCGTGCTCACTCTGAACTACACAACTTTTCCAGCGCAAAGAGCAGCAACAAAATGCAGGTTGGATGTACTTGCCTGCATATCAGAATTAGTGAAGCTGCAAGCTGATAAGTAGTTAGTATGCATGGCGACCGATTTCTTCTTAGCGGCCATATTCTCGTTTTTTTCAAAGGTCAGGGGGTATACAGAACATTTGTTATCCAGACCGCTAGATTAAAAACAGGATGAGAAAAAGACAAGGAAAGTCCTTTTTGAAAACATCACCGGAGCATTCTACCCATGGTCTCTTCGGGAAAGAGGGCCATGGTAGCAAGTGCCCTATTTCCCCCCACCCCACAAAGGGATCTTTTCCAAAATACAGTTCAGTATTTGGAATAATCAGATGGAGCGCTCCTTTTCAGGTCGGGTAATAAAACTGACCCATTTAATCTGCTAGTATATCTGACCCATGCTAGTTATATGGGCCATGCAACCTTGAATCCCTCAGAGCTCCTGGGTAATCAATTTACTTCTGGACTAAATCGAAAGTCTGGGATTGGAACTTTGAATCCCTGAACAACCTGGGATATAAGATATGGAAAGTCATCTCCTCAATTATCTCATTTCCCCCAGGAGTCTACTAGAGATGCACATCTTCAGAAGATGCATCACGGGAGGTCCTTCTAGAGACGACCTGCTCTTTCTGTAAATTTTGTTTAATTAACTGGTAATCATTGCTTTACTTTTGCTGAAAGCTCCGTTGAGGGCCATTTGCTGGAAAGGTGGCCTATAAATAACTAAATATAAAGGACAACAGGTTTTCTCAGTGATAGCCCTGGTATACCATATCTCCAGCGGTGGGCCTGGCCCATTTACTCCAAACATTTCCTTAAAATCTGCCTGAATAAAATTGTGAATATAATTTTATTCAGGCAAGCTTTTTGAAGCTTAATGGTGATTGGTCTCCCACTGTTCTTCTTCTACATGTTTTTCTATTTGAGCTGAGTTATTTTACTGAATTACTGTTTTACAGCATTTCATTATATAGGTTCCTTTTTTTATATATATAGTGCCCAGAGTCTGGTGATAGGGGCAGTATAAACATATTGTTAATATGCATTAATACATACATGCACACAAGCCATTTCTCTTTCAACCAATATGAAAACCTGGCCAATATTAAAATTTTCCATTTCGGAATCATGCGGTTTAACAGAACAAGTAGTATCATTTTTCACGATCAAAACACTGATTTCCAAATACCTTTGGTTAAAGAGGCTTCTGCTTACCCACATGCAATGGCGCATCCAGAAGGAGCATAGGCACACGCCATTACCCATGTGCAGGGCATTGTCACCGCATGCTCCTGAAATACAAAACATTTCTTGCATCTCCCAAGTCAACATTCAACCCTGCCTTGTCACCAGCCAGCTAGAGGCTGCCTAACTAATTCCCCCTCCTACTTTCTTGTGCTAGAGTGGAAAAAAAGCCTACTTGCGATCAAGCCATGTTTGAAACTCCGTTCACCATCTCAGTACCAAAGGTGGCGGGTTTATCCCATCTGTCTCGGAGATTAACAGGATGTTGAGAATAATTGGGGCAAATTTCCTAGTATTGGTCTACCTGTGACATAGACCAGGGTTCCTCAACCTTGGCAACTTTAAGACGGGCGGACTTCAACTCCCAGAATTCCCCAGCCATTCTGGGAGTTGAAGTCCACCCACCTTAAAGTTGCCAAGGTTGAGGAACCCTGACATAGACCACTGGGGCTGGCTGGTTAAGGTGTGGGATTAGGACTAGGAAGATCTAGGTTTAAGTCCAATTCAGCCATTAAAGCTTCTAAGACTTTGGGCTAGTGCCTCTTCTCACCCTAATCTTCCACACAGGTTGCAAATTACAGAAATTGATTCCCTGCAGGAAAGGTAGGATACACATCTAAATAGCAATTGTTATTATTACTACTACTGTTATTATCCCCACCAGTTCTTTCTTTATTAAGCATCACTTAATATAGTTTGATATATCTGAATAGTATCAACCTTGACATCTTGATTGTTTGTATTAATATTATTCCAACACTTTTTTCCTTTGGTGAGTTTAATTAACCCCTAAAGAAAAAAGGAATCAAAATACGGAAAAGGTAAAAGGACTCAGACATGATTCCTTATCTCAGGGGTCCACAGCAGCAGCACTGTAGAAATAGACAGAAGGACCTACAGATTAGAGTTCCTCCAGAAACAGAGTTTTCCTTTACCCATTGGGATGGACAAAGGGGAAGAGCCACAAGTTTGTCAAAAATGATACAACATGTGTTGCAATGCCAAAGCAATCTTTGCCCTGACACAGTTGCCCTTACCCAACAGAGGCCAAACATATATTTCGTGATTTTCCCCCCATGGACACCCATGGAGAGGTAAATGTGCAAGGGAGTGGTCTGAAATACTATAAGATCATTGAAAAGTTCTAGCAGCTGTTGAGCTGATGTTTCTAGATTTCACATTGTAAAACTGACATTGTTCTACCCCCTGCATTGCTCTGTCCTCAATTCTTCTCTTTGAGCTTGGCTCAGAGGCCCCATAGATCTATCCTATCCAAGTCAGTGCAGTATTTCCTATCGGAAACTAAGGTGGGAATCTAAAACAAGGAACGACAACAAGAATCCCCACCTTAGTTTCTCATTTTAATATACATAAAACTGATCTGTGTAGGATACTCTTTCCAAGGCTAGCCCAGTTCAGATCCAGGACAGAGATCAAAGGAGACTCCTTGCACTTATATGGGCTGAGGAAGTGCTCAGGAAGTGCCCCAGAATCATAAATGGAGAACCTCTTAAGCAGAGCACAAGGACCACCTCGTTCTTGCAACCTTTCCTGACTCTCCCTTAGGACTCTGATCCAGTAGGATGTTAGAGAAAAGACCCAAGGGCAAACCACAGCCAATGCCATCAGACTTTATCCAATCTTGTGGGAAAAGAGGTTCTAAAGCAACTCACCTTATTGGTGGTGAAGGCGTCCCAAACTATCACCTTCCCATCCTACAGAAGACAAGGAAGAATAAGACACTCTGAAATGTGTGAGTTTATTTTGAAGCTACGCTGCAATTGAGTCATGCTACTGAATTCTGCTTATGCCTTGTGCCTATAATTACGAGGGCTTATGAGGCAGGGGAGACATGGCTTAATTAAACTGGTGGTACATAAACTTTAAAAAGACACATCAAGTCTAGACAAAAGTAAACCCTTCTGAGATTTCACCATGAAGTCAGCCTACAGATTCTGCCTTGGTCGGTAAAGCTGGTCTACATCTCCCACACAGCTCTCCACCAGTTCCTAAAATCCTTTCCCTTGGCAAGGAGAAAAATAGACATTTACAGGAGCAGAAAAGTAGCAGCATGTGAACTGCTCAAGGACACAAAGAGATAAATTAGAATGTAAACAATCTGCATGGAGAACGGTTGCTCTGCAACGGAGAAGAAGCCAGGTATGAAGGAATGTAGATCTGACTTGGGAATGGGGAAAAAATGAGAAAACTGTTATGGGGGGACTTTCAGAAAAGATTACTCAGTCCTAAGAAAGAAGAAAGCATGAAAAAGAAATTCAAAATGACACAGCTTTGGTTGTTTGATATAAGATGGGGCAGAGAGAGACTCTGACAAGCTTTCAAGATTCTGTTATTCTATCTTAAAACAAAAAAAGCATTCTTGGAATCCCTGCCTTGGCTGTTTCTTGACCTTGCCTATTTCGAAAAGCTGACCCCAGGAAAATTTGATCTTAGTGGCAGTCAAGGAAGGTGGCATTGTTATCCCATGCTGTCACAATGACTCATGAGCGACCCCTGGTGTACATCAAGTGGGCCTTGGTGGGCAACCACCAGTGGTTTTTTTCCTGCAGCTTCCATGGTGTTCTTAATCACCATGAACCTGGGCTTCTTGTTCCTACCCAGCTATGAGACCATCATCAGGATCCAGTTCATGCCCTTTAGTGGTCCAACCAAAACCAATCAATGCTTATCTAGATGTACTTCCCAACTGGTCAAGCATTTCTCCATCCAAAGGGAGAACATCAAGGACACTTCCACCTCCTTCATGATCATGGCTGCCAGGAAGGCAGGCTGACTCGATGTTGAGGTGCTGGCCCTAGACAAGGCAATGCATGGGTCAAGACCCCCAGGTTCTCCTTTGTTTTGGCCTTTGCACTTACAACAAGGGCTCTTACTGTAGTACCAATGTTGGAGAGCATGGTAAAACTTATCCCAGGCCTTATATCTACCCTGAACAATAGAGGTAATAATGAACTGTTTGTAAACATACAAATGTCCTTCTCAGAAAGAATGGGCACTTGGTTTCTATTGTGGTAGAACCCCAGTTCTTTGACAGAGGGATGGGTGGGGCAGAAGATACAAAGGCTGAGAAGCACTGGTCTAGAAAGGTGCTAAAAAAACAACATAAACAAATAAATAAAACTCCCATTACCTGGGAAGAGCTGACAACTCTTCTTTTGTCTTTGCACCAGTCCATACAGAGGACTTTATTACCATGGCCTTTCAATGTCCTTCGTGTCTTCATCACAAACTGTCCCAAAGCCTCCACGCGCTCAGCCACCTGATGCACTACAAGAAATTCACCACAGCATTGGCACAAGAGCCACCATTTTAGCAGGCACAGGCAGGACCCCGTGCAAGCTGTCAAGCTAAGAAGGGGATTATCAGAAGACCAGGAGGAGAAACATGAACCCAGAGAAACAAAGCAGGCATGTTTGCATCCCAGAGCAAGGATCAGAAAGATGGATAGCCTCACCAATTCAAAGCCCTGGTCTTTGATTTCAACATTTAGAATTGCACCTCATCTGTTGAAAGGCAATTTGGTAGTGAAAAACCACTTTCCCCCAGCTGGTACTCTCTAGATATGTTTGGACTTCAGTGTTCTTAATCTCTAGCCAGAATGGCCTTTGACTGTGAATTAGGAAATCCAACTAGGATGGAGAAACTAGCCTAGCATTGATCAGCAGCTCAACATCTATTGGCCACTACACCTGAGAACAGGAACAAACTTATTTCTAAGTGGTTGTGGAATTCCGCAAGTGTTGTTTCCTCCCAAACTCCAACCTCTAGAAACAGAAGGACTATTCATTTTATTTACTCACATATTCATCTAAAAGAGGCTCTAGTTGACCCACATGGTTCTTCTCTCTCCTTTCCATTTTATAACCTCAACAAACCTGTGAAGTGGGTGGATGGAAAAACAGTGGTAGCTCCAAGGTCACCCACTGAGCTGATAATTATGTGGACACTTTCCCCCCTTCTTTCCCTTTTTTGGGGTGTGCGTGTGTTAATTTAAAACTAAACATTTGGGAGATGCCTGAAAATTATCTGTGAGCTCCCCAGTGTATTTCTCACGTAGTATGTGGACCTGCTAGCTTGTAAAAGCAGAAGCCACAGTCCACTAGTACTGCTGTGGTGAAGAATACTCCAAATTTGGGGTGGGGGAGGAGTTTTGAAATTTCTGTGCTGGTTATTTTATGCCCATTGCATTTCAGAAAGTAGATATATATTTACTTATTACAGACATTTGGGCAACATTTTTTATCAGGACCAACAAAATCCCACAAACCCCAGCTGAGATTTTTCAAATTCTACAGATCTCTTCATCAGGCTGGGCGATCAGCCTTCTCGGAGTTCTAGGTAAGGCTGGTCCTTAAAAGGGTATCTTGGATCATTTATTCTCGTGGCCAACACAGCCATATTTATTAATATTTTATTACCGGTAAAATGCCAAATTGTGATCCTCTCTTCTCGGAAGAGAATAAGCTTCCTTAAAAGGCATCAACTCTCATCCTAAAAAAAGATGCCCAGTTAAAACCATGTCCAGTCTCCTTCAAACTGCAGTTAGAGGAGCAACGGCCATTCAAACAAGCATCAACAGTCACTTTGAAAAGCAAACTGAAAAACTTCACTCTTCCTTCCAAAATGCTTCCAATGAGAGGGCCAGTAAAAAAGCTGAATTAGGATTTATTTTTGCCATCAGGAGTGTTTTGCTCAGAGCGTGTCCCTGACAAGTTTCAGGACAGACCTCTCCTTTGCACAGATGGAGCACTTGCAGGCTGAAAAGGCTACGAACTCCCACGACCGGTCTCTGTCTTCGCTGGCAGGGTCATTTTTTTTGGCAGGACTCCTGAACCCGGTATTGACGAGCAGTGCCTTATGGCTTATTTGGCTACCATTCAAACAACGCATTTCTGCCTCTTTAGTCCTCATGTTGATGGATTGGCTGTTCAAAAGGCAGCTACTCGCATCGCACAGCAGAAAGCAGTCTCCTCTTTATTCTTTGGAAGAACAGGAGCTGGTCTCCTTGCAGGCAGGAAAAGCTAATTCCCATCAGCTGGAGGGCCAAATATTGGTGAACAAGCCAGGAATTTTTAAAGCATTTGCTCCCTTTCCACAACTCCTATCTTACTTTCAGCTCTGGGAAACGGGTCCACCAGACATTGGGGGGGGGACTGGTGGGTTTTCACCCTGTTCTTCACAACCAAAGACCTCTCAAACTTTCAGCAAACTAAGAGTTCCTTGGAAGATAAAAAATATCAGTGAAATCGACTTTTCTCTTTTGCAGTGAAATAACAAGTGGATTTCACTGATATTTTGAGCACGAGAAAGGGGACAGGAACAAACTTCTTCATAAACCCCCCTTGGCTTTAATACCCTTAAATTGACATGAGTCCCCAAAGTGCTCCATGCCTCTGAATTGTTTAACAGCCCAAAGAAGTCAGGCTTTTTAAAGAGAAAAATAAAATGCATTGGCCCAGAAAAACAAGTAATGCAGCTTTAGACTAAGAGCCCCAAAGGCCAAGGGGTTTTCTTGTAAAACCCATACAGTGTCTAATAATGCAATGGTATACATCAGTGTTTTTCAAACTTGGCAACTTAAAGATGGGTGGACTTCAACCCCCAGAATTCCATGTGCTGGCTGGGGGATTCTGGGAGTTGAAGCCCACATCTCTTAAAGTTGTTAAAATGCTGGCTGGGGAATTCTGGGAGTTGAAGTCCACCCATCTTAAAGCTGCCAAGTTTGAAAAAAACCTGGTATATATCAATCTTTGGCAAGTCTATGCCCTCCAGATATGTGGGTCTCCAACTCTCCACCAGCACTGGCTAGGGATTGTGAGAGTTGGAGGGGATGGGTCAAGATGGCTAGGAAAGTCTACTCTGGTCACCTAGGCCATCTCACTGGATTGTTGTGATAAAATGAGAGGATGTCCATGTAGTCCTTAGAGCGGTGTTTCTCAACCTCAGCAACTTTAAGATGGGTGGACTTCAACTCTCAGGATTCCCCAGCCAGCATTTTAGCAACTTTAAGAGATGTGGGCTTCAACTCCCAGAACTCCCCAGCCAGCACATGGAATTCTGGGGGTTGAAGTCCACCCATCTTAAAGTTGCCAAGGTTGAGAAACACTGCCTTAGAGGAAGCAGCAAGACAAAACTTAATGTATTTTAACCACCCAGAGTCG